TCTTGACTTTCATTCTTTACATGTCACACAGTATCGAGATGATGCTCCTATACTTAGTTCCCTGCGGATGAAGGGGCGTGTCAGACAGTATGAATGTGCCAAAGCGTCAAACCCGTCCTCTTCTACTTTTTGGAGTGGGTATGCGGCAGCAATGGTGGAAAACGAGTGAAACGAACGATATGATATGGTTTGTCAGTTCCTCGCTTCAACAGCTGGTGGAGAACGGCTTGGTATAGCGAGAAATTCATTCCGCCTGATATGCCCCTTCACATAAGGATACCTTCACAAAGTTTGCAATCTGAGCGATTCACTTGTTCGCGTCGCGAAGTATGAACAACCCAAGGTAGCCCCAACACACTGCCAAGTGCTCAGGTCGCGTGCAGTAGTACAGGCGATAGGTGCGTCATCTCACACATGAACAGCTCAGAGGCGTCTGTAGAGAGAATTCGAAGAGAACGACTTCTCAAGAAGATACGGAACCAGGTAAAACAAAGACATGTTGTGCAGACGCTAGCACTCTTCACTTCTTATTTGTAAGCAGTCAAACGCCACTTCTACAAAGGTTGTTCACTTGTTGGCGATAGGATCTTGAGCCAAGTGTGGCAGTACTTGTTTATACTTCTACGAGGTAGTGTGCTCAGTCACGTCATGAGTACCCATCTATAGTAGCAGCACTTCCACTTTAACTAACGGCACAACTATAGACTAGTTCGCTGCAGACGAAGGGGCGTGTCAGGCCGGAGGAGTTTGGCGTGGTGCCAAACACGTTCCCCACCAGTTGTTGAAGCGAGCAAGTGACAGACTGTATATTGTCCCATACCCGCTTCAGCAACTGATAGAGAACGGGTTTGGCGCCGTGGCACACTCTTACTGCCCGACACGCCGTTTTATTCGCAGTGAACTAGAGTATAGCCGCTGTCTAAGCGTACATGAAGTACTCAATGATTTATTGGTAGTCCAATATAAAGTAGCGATGAGTACGGTCGACGTAGTTCGCGAAGGGTATGCGGCAATTCCACGGCATGAGCGTGGTCACAGTTCGCTATCTAATCGCGCGAATCGCGAAGAGTGAACGCGCCTGAGAGGTTTACCATACCACATGCTGAAAAGCTGATGTTAGGCATTGTTCACAGTCTGCGGCCCAGCGTTTCTCTGGAAAGAAACACTTCTGCGAAAAGCTTTCGATACGTATCGACTGGCGGTTGGGCGAAAGGAACTTTTAATGCGGGCATGTGATTATTGATCGACGGCGGGTTTTGGGCAAAACCACGAGTTTTCGCCTTCGCGAAACGCTAGCTTCGATTTGTCCGTGGCATTTTTTTGCACAGCGAGTCATCCGCCACCTAGGCGGCTCGCATAGGCTACATCATTGCATTGGATCACTGTGTACAAATTTACGAGAGACCAATTCGCTGCGGACGAGGGGTGATCAAGCGAGTGAGTTTGGCGCTTAGTGCCAATGCACTTTACTCACCTGTTGTTCAATCGAGCGTCATCTGCAGCGAACTAGGGCATCCACAGCTCGCGAATACAACTGCCACGAACTGCGGACACCCTTGAAGTATACTACAATCTCGTTTCGCTAGGGATCAAGGGGCGTATCAGGGGATTCGTGTGACGCCGGAGCCAGTGAGAAGAGGGTAAGCGAGAGGGGTTGGTGATACGAACGATATGATGCAGTTCTGTCCCTTGCTCGCTCCCAAATGGTGGAAAACGGGCTTGGCGCTACGCCAAATCCATCCTGCTTGACACACTTCTTCATTCGCAGCGAAGAAGGCTGTACGCTTCCATACAAAATTCTTCGTGTACCTTTACAAGAAAGAAACGCTTCTATCGAATAATCGCGAAATAGCAACTTGTATCGTAAAGAAGAATTCAATAACAAACGTATGCTGGGACTAGGCTCACCAAATTACATAACATGTACTATGCGATTGGTTTTTTCATGTCATTGATATGGCTTCAAGGAGAAAAACGACCTATAAGTATAAAGAAAAACATATACCATGAACAATTACCAACTAATCAAGCTAATACTACTCAGAAGTAGCCACATGGGTCGCTTCTTCTGCACGAAAAAAATAGCGGAAAATCATCACAATCAAGATCAGTCAACACTCGACATTACTTAACCGGTATTATAGCATATTACAGCAGTGTAATGCATTACGAACGAAAACATATCGAATATTACAAAAAAATGATCTAAACTCATGCAATAGAATTTACATCAATGCAAAGCACATAAAGACATTATAAAATTGCATTTCTAAGACTTTTTATGACCTAGATAATTACATTTTCACTTGAATTTCTGGCTACCTTCCACGATTTTCAGATGAAATGATTCACAACCTATCATCACCTGGCAAAGATAGTTCACCATCGAAATGCACGTGCCTTCAGTCAGCAGAATAAAGAAACAGTTACAAAGCGTAAATTAATTACACAATTACTAGCACGATAAACTATCTGTACACCGGCATAGCATCCATGAGTCAGAGTATTGACGTAGATGGCTTATCCTGAAACATACGTCTACAAAACGTGAAGTTTTGTGGAACAGAGTACGGTGGTGCCCAGCTCTAAGTAAGATTAAAGACAATTTCCGAGATCAAGTATCATGGATAGTAGGTGTTCGTTTATGAACCAGTACCTAATAAGTAATTCTCCAAAATCAAAAAGAATCTTCAAGAATATAACCAAAACAGCTCCCTGACAATCACACTGCCTCATTGTACGAGTTCTCCGAACTTGCTGGTCATTCGGCGCCCTGTGCTCTCTCTGCAACCCCTGGCTAACAAATTGCTATTTTGCACCTTCGACTACTAAATGTCGGATAATGCAAAGAAAAGCAAACGAAAAACAACATAAACAGCGAGGAAACTCGCAACAGAACGTAATTTTCGAAAAATTTTGAGGATTTAGGATTACGGTTAGCGATGCACGTAGGGCTTTTGCACCAAAAACTGCATCACTGGTGATTTGAACAGTCTTACTTCGTGAGATGGATTGCTTTTTACTGTATATACACCTAATCAAGTAAGTGTATAAAGAAGAGGAGAATTACCTACGATCACGAGCGCGGTCGGCAAAAAGGGGCATGTAATTTCGATTTATGGAACAACAACTGAGCGCCTCTGCGTTAGGTGTGGAGGGGACGTTCGCTGAGTGGGTGGTAAAACTGAGCAGGTGTCAGGAATAGAACCTTCGACACATTCCTCGCTTGCTGTGAAATCGCGAAAGTGGGACAATCTCTAAGTCTGTGGGCTGGACTACTTGCACAACTAAGGACGACCACGAACTACTTGAACGCGGGGTCTGTCTTCAAATATCTTCATTTACAGACGTTGACAAAAGAGAAATGGAAACCGCATACCGTAGTTTTGTACTATCCGTTATTCACGTATGCCTGAGCGACCTCCGGTACCGCTCGCCGTCGCGGAACTGGTGGTGGTGGAAGATGAAGTGGATGTCCTCCTTCACCGGTACCCGTCTCATCGGAAGGATGTCGAGACTACAAGTAATTATGACTCCTCAAGATTATACCAAATAAGTAAGAAAACGAAAAGAAAAGATGGAAGCATTACTCACCCGACTTTGCATAGCTATGTAGCAACTAATTGCTCTGTACAGAAAGACATATTGGGCTTCTGTTTGGACCATACGGCTTCGCTGTTCGCGTATTTTCATTACTG